ATGAGGGGTAAAAGAAAAGAATAGTAGAGGGAATGTGAGGAAGAAAAACTCACATTAAAGATATTTTGAAAAAGTCAGATGGAAACCTATTGCTGTAGAAATTTCTTAGGCACACACACATACACATACCAAGAGTTAAAATGGAATTACCTTATAATGGGGCAATAATGTCCCTACCAGATCCCAGAGGGTAACAAATAAAAAACTCAGTCCATGGAATGAATTACGTTTTTGGTGTCAAATTGTTGGCTAGCAAGTGTTACAGGCTATTTTGCCAATGTTCTTGGTTACTTTCCAGAGCCTGAAGTGAGATCCTATTACTAAAGACACTATGAACTCATGTCATAGAGTCATAGAGCATAGAGCTACTTAGTAGTACCAACCTTACTAGGTAGCTATCATAAAGCTGATAGGCGCTATGCACACCGGCAGAGGAGAATCATTACTCTTACCCAGACAGTAACTCTGCAAATCCATGTCAAACTAGTGTAATAGTAGCACAAACATCATGGCAGTAAATAATCACTTTTTGATTGTATTTAAATACCACTTCACAAGATGAAACCCATTATGTTGCACCATTGTTGTGCCAAGAACCTATGGATAAACAAGTCTTGGCAGTGAAGTGAAACTATTATTATTATTTCATTAAGTGGACATAGTATTAAATTAACTTCTAATAACTTATTATTTCTAAATATCAGTACATTTCTTAAACCTCATAAGAGAAGCGTCTTCTTAAAGTATATGGCATTTTATACAGAGACATACAATTAGTCAAGGTACAGAGAATAACAGACTGTAGAATGTTTAGCCCTAATTGGGACATCATATACCATACCCATTTCCCTCAATGTTCAGGCATTCTTGTGGAAGAATATGATCAAAATTCATTTACAGAATTTTTCAAAAAAAACTAATAAATAAGAAGTGATGGGCTATACAATGTAAATACAAAATAAATTATGAGCAATTCATTTTTGTGGTTCTGAGATTAACCTAGGGACTTAATGCACAGAAGAATTAAGATACTAGGGTTGTACCTTTGAAGGATATACCTGGCCTTCCTACCTCTACTCTTTTCTCTGCTTTCTATTCAGTGAGGGGTTTTCCATCACCACAATCACCCACCATGATGCTCTGCCTCACCACAGGCCTAGTAACTTACATACTATGTAAGGACTGAAACTTACATACTATGAGCCAAAATAGATTTACCCTTTCTCAGTATTTTGCTATTAATTATTTATTTCAGTGATGGAAAATCCAATACAGTGTTTTATAAATATGCTATCCATCATGCATAGTGATTATTATTTTGATATGGATACTTTGTATTCAAATTATTGTTCTTCACATTTTCCCTCCTAACCAAACAAAGCCATTTATTATACACTTAAAAACTTAGAAACACTTAACTGCAGTGAGAGTTTTAGCAGATACCCTGTTTTAGCTTCTTTTACTACCAAGTAACCAAAGTCTGAGTGATAGCCCTAAAGGCTCATTTAGATTAATGGGCAAAGATTAGATACCATATCCCTTTTTTTCTGGTCTATCAACTTGAAGAAGAAGCTTTCTATGCCATTCAAAGTTTTCTTTTTTATTTTTACTAATTATTATTCAGTGTTATCTTTCACTGTATTTCTCAGTGTAAAACTGACTCTATTACTCAAAATTGAAAAACTATTCATTAAATTTAAAAGTATATATATATATATATATATATAATCAAGGTAAAATGTACTGTTTATTGTATTCTGCAGCATAGTCAAGTGAAATCCTGAAATCAATATTAACAGGTTAGCTATCGAGTATATATCAGATACTAGACCTGCACAAATTTTTGCATAAGTAGTAACTTCATATTCTGTGAACAAGAAGCATGCATGCAAGAAACCAAACTTTGGTATGTTATTTTATTCTGAAAAGTATCTTGTTCTCCCACTCAGCAGGATGATAATCGTTATAAGGCATCATTTCCCTATGTTCCATATAGAGCACATGGCTTATACAGGAAGAGGATCTAATTATGTTTGTATAAACAGTAGAAACTCCATTTTAATTTCAAAACTGTATCCAGACCTTTGGATCTGGATACATATTGACTATTTTCTTATATTCAAATATTCCTTAGGCATCAAAAAGTCACCAAATATTTTATGTACAGCAGTATGGTCTGAAAATTCAAGTTCAAAAACAGTCCAGTTAGGTTCCTCTTACTGTGAAGAGTCACCATGACCACAGAAACTCTTTTTTTTATTAATTTTTTTTAAAACAATCTTTTCTCATTGTACATACCTATCCCAGTTCCCACTCCTCCCCTCCTCCTACTCCCCTCTCCTTTTCCCCACCCCAGCTCCCCATCTACTCCTCAGAGAGGGTAAGGCTTCCCAAAGGGAGTCAACAAAGTCACATCACTTTGACACAGGGCTGAGGCTTTCTTCCCTATATTTACTCTGAGTATCTGCCCCACTCTGTCTGGGGCAAGCACCTGAACACATGAGTCTATGCGGGCCATATTTACTCAAACTACCACAGACACTCGGGTCACATACTCACAGCTGTTTACTACCAGTGTCTTTTCTCAGTTTAGTAGCAGCCATTGATTCATTATTCTACATACTTAGCTGTCCACAAGTACACGGCTTACAAAGTATTAGCTACAAGACAGAAAAGTGTGCTGTTTCTGTAATTAGTGTAAACAATTAGTTGCACACTGTTGAAGCAGTCGCCCTCATGAACTCAGGCAAAGGGCTCTGAAAAAAAAAAAAAAAGCCAAGAATCTGGGAATTACAAAGAACAATCACCACATTCCAAGCGAGGAACTGAAAGAGAATCCCAGACTAATTTGTTTATCCTTAAATGAAAAGCCTCAGGAACTAAAAGGATTATCTAATCTCTTTCCATTTTCTTAATGCTTGGAGAAGTTTTAGATTAATAGCTTTTGATACTTTAATGATGTCAAAGAAGGCTGTAAGAGCCCTATTAATTTCACTGACTTCTTGCCAAGTAGGAAAAGCAATTTGTGATTACTGAATAAATTTATCTTGATTAGAAAAAGTCATCACAGCAAGGAAATTGTAAAGTGGAGAAAAGTAGGAAAAAATTTATAAAAATGTATAAGAATAAATTCAAAATGACAGATTGGATATGGATTTAAAATTCTCCTGGGAAAATAGAGGAGATCATTCGTTTTATGTGTATGTTAATATTTAAACCACTGTTCTATCCTTAAATTACTGAGATGGTTTTCACTTTTTAAAACTCTACTTAAAATTCCCAACTACCGTCTCAAAGTACAATGAAGTACAAACTTAAAGTGTTTTGTTTTCCTTTTCAATATTTATTTATTTCTATTTATTTACTTATTTATTTATTTATTTATCTATCTATTTATTTATTTGACAGCCTGACTGCAGATTCCCCTCTCTCCTGTCTTTCCAGCCCCTGCCCCAGCCACTAACCTCCCTTCTGAGCTCCACTCTAAACCTCTCCTCTGTTTCTATTTAGATAAGGGCAGACCTCCCCTGTATCAACAAAGCATGGCATATCAAGTTGCAGTAAGTCTAAAAACTTTCCCACGTATTAAAATTGGAGAAGGTGACCCACCCAGTACGAGGAGTAGGATCCCAAAAGCTAGAAAAAGTCTGAGACAGCTTTGGGAAGTACCAAAAGAAGGCCTATCTACACAACTGTTATGCATAGTGTTTTTAATCTTACTGCACTCATCAGCTAACAAGTTCTCTGTCTTCTTGGGCCTTGGTATCGGTAAAACCCGAGGAATTAAATCCTTGCTACCCCGGGCAGAAATGCACAAGTGTGGACACATTAATAAGAAAGCAGCAATGTTCTAAAGAAAGTAAAGCCACCACTACAAGTCATGTGCCCTAAACTAACAAAATGGCTGGTTTTTTCCTTTCCTCTCCTTGAATTTATTTTTAACTAAAATGAATTCTGTCATTGAACATGCATCTATAAGCCCTGGGACAATTGTTCTAAGCACTAGTTCAAATTACTTTTGAATGTATCAAATGCATTAGGGTGGGAGTATTAAAAGCTCTAAAATGATGGCGCCTTTAATCTGTAGACAAATGGATATGTTTTATTCAGAAATTCACAAACAAAATTTCATTCAGTTTACCCAAATTACCCTTGAGGTGTTTATTCCTTCCTAAGTCCTAAAGGTTTTCGTGGCCAGAGTGCAGTCTCCTCCCTCCACCCTCACTCTTGTCCTTTAACCTTTCCCTTTTAACCCCATCCTTTTACTCAGTACCGTGACCCTCTGCCTTCTTAGAACTTGTGCTGTCCTCAGTCTGAAGTACCTACTGATTTCTAGCTTCCACACCTCCTACCTGGTCAACATCAGATGCAGTGCTTGCCTTATTATTTGTTTTTCAATCTTGCTGAGTCTACTCTTTTCCCTGTTCATATGCAGCCTTTAGTCCAGCATCACAGTTTCTCCTTTGCAGCTCTCATTGGAGATGCCATTTCACATTTAATAATGACATTTTTATTGCCCATCTTTATCATTAAAAGTACTGAAGCCAAATATTTTGCATTCTTCCTCATTATTGTCTTGTATCTCAAGCACCTGTGTGCCTATCATTAGATTCATTCTCCCTTAAGAGAAATTAGTAAAGGAAGGTCTAAGCACATAAATTTTGGCAGCCATGGGATTAATGGATAGAGACCACTTTTGTCAACTCTGCCAACCATGAACATCTATACTGTCTTACATTAACTTTGTCTTCCACAAGCTTTGTAATAAGCTCAAGAGAGGATGTGTTGTCTCTGTCTCTGTCTGTCTGTCTGTCTGTCTGTCTGTCTCTCTCTCTCTCCTCTCTTTTCATGTGAGCACACTCACAGATGTCAGTATTTTAGGACTGAAAGTGCTTTGGTGATGGTAATTGTTTGTAATAACTCGGCATTAAATACCCCTGATCGCTAAAGGATTATTTTTCATGCTGATCATGGGGAAAAACTTCAAATTAGGCANATATATATATATATATATATATATTCCCAAGATACTGAAGGAAGATGATGAAAAATTTTAGTCCATGTTTAAAGCTAGTTTTTCGGACAGTGTCTTATTTTCTGGTATCTATTCGGGAGATGCTGAAGAAGAGGAGCATGCTTCATCTCTCAGGATGCATTTTTATTTTTTGTCCTCTTCACTCTTCTGCTATGTGGCATGAGTATTCAAAAATTAGAGTCAGTCTTTCAAGGCAGAAAACCTACTTTGCACTGGCCTTGTGCATCCTCTTCCACCTGAATTTCTGCACATGGAGCAGGGAGCAATGCTGACTGACTCCACTAACGAATGCAGATATGTACAGAAGGCATGCAGCCTTTGAAGGCCCAAAGTGCCTTCTCTCCTCCTACTTCTCTGCCTCATGATAACTACCCGCATTAAAGCCTTTGGTTTATTGAACTATCTGCTTGATATTATTTAAACGCTCATCTGTTTTAACTTTAGAAACTTGAATGAACATTGAATAAGAGAAAAGGGCTTTTCCTTCTCGGTTCCAGAGCATTTTACTGTTTACCGTTTTACCACATACAAAAAGAAATTTGACTACAAAATCCAATCTTGGTAAGAGTTCCAGGATTTGTTTCTCAAGGTAAAACATGGCTTTCCAAACATAGTGAAAGTAAGACATCTTTATGAGTTCACCCTCCCTCTCTGTCTCTTTCTGTCTCTCTCTCTCTCACACACACATACATCCATACACACAGATATACACACTTACACACACACACACACACACACACACATACAAACACACTTTCCCATTTACCATTTTCCTTCATCCCCAAACTTGCTTCAGTCTATGCTTCCTGAGAAATAGGGAAAGCAGTTACTCTCAGAACCTCTAAAGAATTTACTAGTATTAGAGTTCCCGTTAAGTCTCTCCACCATTTGGTGACAGGGTTTTTCATTCTGTCCAAAGCTGATTGAACGTCTTGTAACACATCTCTACAGCTGTTTCCATAGTGACTGCTCCATGCATAGAGAAAATCATAGGCAGGTTTCCACATCATCTATAAAGAAAAGGAAATAGATTGATGTGAATATCAGACACATAACAGAGATAGAAACAGAGAAAAAAATTTAAACTGCAAAGGACTTAAAATAAAATGGAATTCTCATTATGTAAACTTTTTAATGTAGAAAATAATCACTATCATTTTTTATATCCCTGTTTCTAAAACTGGAGTGTTTTTCAAAAATAAAACCTATAAATATGAACTTTTTTTCTTGATCCACTGTTTAGTTTATATTGCCTTGATGCCAATACAAAATTCCTTGCATAATTTAAAATTTACATTTTGTTATTCATGTATTTATTTATTTAGTGTGTGAGAGTGAATGTATGTCATACATGTATGTGGAAGTCAAGAGATAACTTGATGGAGTAATTACGTCATACCATGTGTGTCCCAAGCTTCAGTTGTCAAGCTTCATGGCAAGCCTCTTTATCTACAGAATCATCTTTTCAGCACCATATTTTTAATAATAACAAATACTATTAAGATAAACTTTTAATTATCTGACTTTTAAGAATAGGGTTTGTTACATATAAGTATTTGTATTGTTTTATAATACTATATATCATAACAATGATAGCAAATACATTTTGCACTTTTAATTCATTCTATTTAGCAAATCTATACATAAGGAAAACTGTAGTTTGATGATCAAATTAAAATAAAAACAAAAATATAGTTCTTTAACTCAAAAACTTACTTTTATGGTACATTTTGTGATGCAAAGAAAGACCAACATTCTATGTTTCTGCACTTTTCTTCCCCTGAGGTCACACCAATGACATCACTGTTCCCATAGAAATAAATGCATGCCAAAGGAGAATTTCACATACAAGCAAGTACATGATGGTTACCAAGGCAACGGGCTCAGAGGGAATGAGACAAAGGCAAATAGAAGAATACAGACATATACACAAGTTAACATAAATTTATTCTAAGAAAATAACAAGGCATACACTCATGATTAGAGCATTTGAAATATAAACTTTAGTAGTAATTACTTATTTGGGCTTACCAAGTTGATTTATTTGTAATTCTACCATTTATAAAATGTTAAAAGCACTGAGTTTGAGCTTAATATTGAACATAATTGCTTTCTTAAAATGGTACCTCAATTAACATCAGCATTCCAGGTAATTGGATATAATTTTTCCACTTGCCACCACTACTACCCATATAGTCTAATTACTGAGGTGGGCAGAAATAAATCTCTGATGCCATTATGGTTTGCTTCAGTCCACATAAAAATGCTCAAAGGGTGAGATGTTATTTGTTCTAGTTGGCATTTCAGAGAGGACATACACACCTATTTCCTTACCTCTCTTACAAAGACTAATTTTGCAAAGTAGAGAATAAAATAATTATCAAAGTTATATCATGCTAAGTTATGTGACATAGAAGCGGAAGTCACCTTAGAGTAGCTGCTTTCAACCTATGGGTTACCACCTCCCAAAGACCATTAGAAAATACAGATTTATAACAGTTATAAAATTACAGTTATAAGGCAGCAATGAAAATATTTCATGGCTGGGATCACCACAGCCATGGGGAACTGTGCGCTAAAGTGCTACAGCATTAGGAAGGTTGACAACGACTGCCTTAGAGTATGTATACAAGCTTTGTCATCACTAATCTGGTTTATGGGGAAATCGTATCTTCTGCTACTGAAATAAGGGCACTGGGGTGTCCTCTTTTCTGAAGGGTTCTGTTGATGCAAACTACTCACACTACCAGTGTTATCAGTAGCAATTCAGCAAGAAAAACATATTAGGCCACATTAATAGAAGCTTATGCCAGGCTCTATCTCAGCTGTCAGTATTTAGATGCAGTGCTACACTAAAATGGTTGATTAATCTCTGTGAATTTAAAAAACAGAAAACTGTTTGTCCATGCTCCAAACTTATATTCTATACTGAATCCACTCAGTCACCAATATTCAACTAGCTGGTACAATAATTTTCAAATTGTTGAGTACTGTTTAACATAATGTTATGTATATTTAACAGCCTCCCCAGACTGTTCTAAGTCCCTTTGTGACTGAGTAGGAAACAGAAATGTATTTGGAAATATTTACAACAGGCAATGACTGACAGCAGTGAGTAAAAGGTGATATAGCACAGAAGATTAGCATAAAATACCAGAGAACATAGATATCTGTTGGGGATTTCAAATGGGTGGTTTCAGAGTTCTTTTATATGCTGACATACAAGTGGTTTTATACTCATGGACAGTAAAACCACCCCACTGTCTTACCCAGGCAGTTAAGCTCTGCATGGCATGTCTTGCTGCAGCAAGGAAATTTAGCATTTACAGAAAAGCTTGCACAAGTGTTTAGATGTGAGTCGACTTCTCTGTGCTGCTCAAAGACTTAGGAGACTGGAGATGTACACAGGATGTTATAAGTTAGAGCCTACCTCCCTCCATGCACTTACACTGAGTACTACATTACTCCCTCACATTAGACAGCTTGGACACAGCACAGAATAGTACAGTCAGCACTGGAACTCAGAAAAACATGGATTGACTGTTGAAGTCTCATCTCTATGTAAGTCTTCCGAAAGTACAAAGAAAGGAGTGGCTAAATTAATCAGAAATGCAAGGGAGGATATTGCCTTGAACTTATTTGATGACCCCTGACATGGGTATGAGAGAGTTAGGGTGGAACCACAGGACAGAGATGACCTTCCTGACTTGAATTAAAATATGAATGAGATTTGCCATCCAGGTTTTTTTTTCTTCAATACAACAAAGCCTGCCTATTTCTTCAGTATAAAATCTAATTTGCCATATACAAAATCACCTGTGACTTTCAACCCAGATGGCAAAAAAATACTATCACACATAGTTTAAATATGGTAAATATATGCTTTTCCACTAATTATTTTACTTGCTAAGTCAAAATTCACTGAATACACATCCCTACAGGAATTTCTATTACAGGAAGGTCATGAGGGAAAAGCATGGTGCTTAGATATAGGAACAAGGCAATCATTTGGACAATGAGTAAACAGACAGGACTTGGTAATAACAATTACAAAAAGTACCTCTAGATTAACCTGTATGAATCAATGTGAGAAAGACAGGAACTTTTAAAGTTTTATTTTATCTTATGTGCACATAATATATGTGGACTATGTGAGTGACTGGCACCCTCAGAGGACAGAAGAGGGTTTTGGATTTCCTGAAACTGGAGATGCAAGTTGTGAGCCACTATATGGGTGCTGGGAGCCAAACCCAGTACTCCTCAATAACAACCAATATTTTTAACTGATGAGCCACCTCTCCTGCCATATGACATGCTCTTGTCATTTGATGAGGACTCATATGCTGCAAAAAAGGAAATTGGGTTTTACTGCCAATAGTCCTATGCTCACATCCAGGTTCCATTGCTTATTTGACAGTTCAGTTTGAGCTTTGACTTTTTAAGCTATAAAGTATGTATAATAATTTCCAGTCTTCTTTCTTCAATAAGGCACCCTAAGAAGAACTTATATGACAGTTTGCATGCAATGATTGTTAGTAGTATACATAGAAAATTGTAAACTTTTAATAGGAGCAAGATAAGGAAGCTTTATTTTTAACCATATGGAATATGAGATAATGGACAGGGGCTATCTGATGAAAACTTAAAATGGTCAAATGACCTGAAAGCAGTCAAAGATTGAACATTATTCATGTCACAGTAATGAAGAAAAATATGTGAGTCTTCTACTATGTCAAAGAAGAGAAAAGTGAATGGAAATTTAAACTTCAGTTAAGTGTACTATTGTAGACGCAAGTAAGATACAGAAACAAAGAATGGAGAGAGGGTAGAGTTAGAGTACAAAATTTATTCATGTTACAAAAAACGGTGGTGCCTAGCTGACTCAAAAGGATATCTATCTAGTAACTTATCTGGAGTCAGTTTCACAGCCCCACATAGCTGGTTTTGTGTAAGTGTGTGTTTAGTATTAATGTATTAAAATCATAAAAGTTGGGAGTATTTATATCATGGAAGTTAGCAAAGGCAATGATTGAGGAGTTTCCCCTCTTGCAAAACCAGTTATTAAAATTTCACCATCACACCACAGAGGGCATCCTTTTCTTTTGCCTCCCTCACATCTTCTAACACCAAGTGATTCAATGACACATGTACCAAAGGCAAACAAGAATACGGACTCCACCCTAAAAATGTCAGTGTGAAGTGTCTACAGAAAGAAAAGTGCAAATAAACAGAAGCCATGGAACAAATGGATCACATACAGAATTTGAGTTCTGGAAGAAGAGAAATATAAACACAGGACTAATCATCAAGAAATCGGTGAATTTTTAAAGAAAGGAAAAAATACAAATATGAACATACTATAAAGAAAAATAATTTGTGGGTTAAATTCTAATGTTTCCAGATAGATAATTTAAGATTATTAAGGACTGAAGAGATAGCCCATTTAAAACATTCAAAAGAAAGGCTAGCTTTCATTAGCCAGAAGAATAAAGACAAAAGAATGTTTTGTTTTTGAAAAGTAGATTAGTTGCTTTTCTGTTGGTGTGTCAAAAATGAATGACCAAAACCAACCTATAGGAGAAAGAGTTGATTTTAACTAAGTATCCAGAGGGCTGGATGTCAATAATAGCGGGCGGGGGGGGGGGGGGGGTAATGCAGCAAGCACCTGGAACACGAAGCTGAGAGACCACAGATAAACCTTACATGGCAAGCAGAAGAAGGAAGCTTGAAGTGAGCAAGCTATATGCTCTTGAAGCCCACCTCCAGTGACAAACTTCCTCCATGAAGGCTCCATGTCGTAAAAGTTCCATTCACACCCCTAACCAGCACCAAAAAACTGAGGACCAAAGTGAACAAATGCATGAGCCTTTTGGAAAAGTTCCCCCACTTAAACCACTACAATAACTAAAGGGACAAATAATACTGAAGCTAAGAAAACTCACAGTCTGACAACAGCTATAAACTGCATACAGTGAAGGAACACTGAAATTTAAGAAATATGTTATTCTTC